CCACTTTAATACTCTTTATTCTTTTCCTTTTAATCAACTATCACATGGTGGGGTTTCACATGTCTCCTATTAACTTTTACTTTTTACATACTATAGTTTGCATGTAATAGTAACTTTTACATGTATATCTCATATTCCTTATAATTTAACTTTCCTTGGTTAGTAAACTTCCTTTTAATTTCTAATATTAGAATTTGCAAATGAGTCCTCAATCTTTTCTTTATTTTCCTGGAGACGCTTTGAGCTTTTCATCCTTCACAATTTTGTCCTTCCAACATGTTTTAAACTCCAATTTTTTTCTATTTTCCTTCCTTTATATGTGTACAAATATAATATAAGGTTTGCACCCCACCAAGGTGTTACCATAATATTTAAAGATATACTTAACTGCGCTAACTTTATTTAATAAAGGCACGCGATCCCACTTATGTCGTTTTTCTTCAAAATTCATTCTTACTTTTTCTCCCCCACTTAGATTAGTCATATACTTCTTCTTCATGACTAACTTCAACTACATATAAAATATTAATATTTTAATACTATTTTATTAACAAAATATTATTTTATTCTAAATTTTTTTTCAACTTGTCTCGTCGGGACCCAAAATGTCTCACTTTATCCCAATTCACTTCAGAATTGCCTTTTTATCTCACTAATTCATCCTCAGTAAGCTATTATTATTTAATTATCATGTCCTCGCATATGAAATATTTTATTCTAAAACATTTTTCGCCTATCACCGCTCTTTCGCACATAAATTTACGTCCATCAACCCTCTGTCTCGTCGATGAGATCATATTGGACCTTATACGAGGGTACGGGGTGTTACATAACTCATATACAATTTCAACTAATGCATTATACGATGTTAAGAGAGTAATTAGGCAGTCTTCCTAAAAGGCTTTTTCAACCTTACCTAACCTATCTTGATGTCTTGATCTAATGTACAAGATCTTATGCAAATGTATCCATTTCAGGAATATTCAAGCCTTTCCAATATCAGTTTTTTGTTGTTGTCGGATTATCCACGCAAATGCACATATCGTTAAATAAATAATATAGTGAAAAGTAGAGTGTCGATCCCACTGTGAATTGAATTAATTCTTACTGTTAACTACTAAAATTGATACACTCTAATTTTATTCAAACAACCAAATTTAAATTACTAAAAAGCAAAATTAAATCTAACAACATAATTTAAAATTAATCAACAAATTTGTTTTATAAATCCAATCAACTACAAGACCTAAGATTATGATATCTCTCAATACTTCATTTGAATATTGTATCTTTCTCTTAACTTACTTCAATGGATTAAGTTGCGAACTAAGAGTCTTAAATTATTTACAAGTCTTTGTTAAGTTTCTCATCAAAATATCTCTCCCAATTAACTTCCTATATGTTTATGTAAATTAAATTGAAGAAATATTCATTAAGTTCATGCTCTAATCTTAGCTATGTATAGCTTAGGTGTGTATGTCTATCTTATACAGAAATCAAACCACCTAATCAATTAAGTCCATTCGATCGTACGCTATTCCATTCAAGATCTATCCTAAATCTCCTTTGTTATGGTCTAACTTAGGTTTCCAATATAATCTAATTAGAGATCAGGAAATTAGAAGCATTAAGAATAGAATAGAATAAATAATATAAAATCATAAAATATAAGCAAAAAAGAGATAAATAGTTCAGACTATGTATTGAGTTCAATCATAATTTTAGATAACTAAATTAGTTCCCTATAATTTAACAAATCATCATCAAAATGTTTAAAGATTGAAACCAAACCAAGAAAAACAAAGAATAACTAAAAGAATAAAGAAACTTTGAGAGTTGAAATCTTGATCTTTAAATTTTCTTAAATCCTTCAATTTCTTCTTAACTCCAATGAGACTTTTTCTTCAATGATTTTATGGCTGAAGCTTAGTTCTAAATTTTTGGTTTTTCATCCTTCTCAAAGAGATCTCAAAGGTTGCATAAATAGGATTCGAGTTTGTGTTAAGAAAGAAGTCTGAATCAACAAAGATTTCCAATCAGCAACAACTATGTCACGGCTTACCTCTTCTTAGGTTGTGACTTGGAGCATTTAAAGGTGAACAAAACATGGATTTCATGTCAAGGTGTTGTGACCTACCTTCTCCAAGGTCTTAGCCTCGCTTCCTTTGTCTTGTACTATTGCAATGCTTCAATTATGACAAGAATTTTGACCAACTTAAACTGGACAAAGTGGTAAACATGAAAGTTGTATTTTTTTCTCTTATCTTTCCAACAATGTAAGAATTTATACATTTTGAGTTTCGTAGAGAAAATTATAGTTGAAATACCGAGACATATGTAGTGAAGGTCTGCATTTCATGAACACTTATCTTGACAACTTTTCACCTTTTTAATTGCACACCTACAAAATCAACAACTTAGTCAATAATAACATATCTTAGGCACATTAACACCAATTTAAGCACAAATTTAACTAAGATTAGATTGACTCACCTAATTAACTAACTTAAAATACTTAAATAACACTTATTAATTTTTATGCATTATTATAAGAACTTAGCTAAATTACTATTAAAATTAAGTTCGAATAACTCTATATCATAGGGCTATCATCTGCACATTAGACTTAGTTACCATTTACCTTTCTTGGCTCTCCATTTCAGTGCATAAACCTTGAAAGGATTGGGCCTTACCCATCATAGCATACATAAACCTTAAAGTAATTGAGTTTTACCCATCGTAACATACATAAACCTTACATACAACACTTGCAATTTCATAGCAGAATGCATACTTATTTTTAATCATCGTGCATGCATCTTTAGTGGTATTATCGACCCCATTGAGGCTAAATGCCTATTTAAGGTACTTTGACCCTTATTTTAATTGGGTACTCTGACCTTGTTGTAGACCAATGGTATTTTTCAATCCCCACTATTGGCTACATAATCCTAGTGGTATTTGCAGCCCCATTATGGCCATGCAATGCATCATCAAACGTAACATATCAATCACATCACATAACACATAACATCATACCTACATAATGTAGCATCTAGTCATAAATCATGATATATCCAATGACATGTAGCTTAGCTACCATGTCGCTCAGTGCACATCAAATCATAAACCACTGATAGCTCAATGCATATTTCTATGCATATTCATATCTTAACACATTTACTTATGTGTATAAACATTCACCCAAACCTAGGTTTCACATAATATCATATAATTCATTTTAAAACAGCTCATTCCATGCACTTCTCTGTAGAATCATTTACATATTATCTTAGTCTTAAAATCTTATTTCATGCTTTTTCAAAACCATTTGGATGCAATATCCACTCACTTGGCATTTGCCTATATTGTGGCTTAACTAGCATAAATGATTAAACTTGTCCACAAGGCTTAGTGCTCCAAAGGTAGTCTATCATTCAGTCAAAGAATAAAAATCAATAATGTGCTTAATTCTCTATCATATTTCTAATTGGATTTTTGCCTAGGATTTTAAAATTCATAATTGCCATGATTTCATTTAACTTATATGATCACTTTCCTTTTTATGTCTTTTTACTTCTTTCTTAACCAAATTCCTAGCTTACATAGCTATACTTAGCTATTCACTCTTAAGTCTAATAGCTCATTAGTGCGTCATTTAATCACACTTACCTTAACTTAACTTTGTTCTCCCCTTTTTCAGCTTGCTCTTTTCCTTGGTAAGCTTCCTTCAACGAACCGACACTTCTATGGATCTACCATTGTCAAAATTCTTAGAATTGTGCTAATATATTTATCTTGCTTCAAGATTGAGCTAAGTGAGAGTAGACTTAACTTAACTTACCTCATTTTCAGCTTAATAGCTGTTAAAGTGGTCATACTCAGTTTGAACTCAACTTAAATGGTTACTTAAAAATCCATAGGAACTTCAAAACTCCCATAAGGCAGCAAACCTTTCTTTCTTGAAATTAATCAATCAAACCAACCAAAATGAGATCAAACTTACTTTGATGAGTGAAATTCTCACTTTTATAGCTTCAATCATAGAGTTTGAAAATAGAGTATGAAGACAATTTTAAATCTTAGGGAAAAACGTAAGATGATTAATAGCATAAGTAATTAAGCTTTTAAAATAAATGGTAAGAAATAAGAGAATGTATGTGCAACAGTTAGCAAACATAGTATCATGGATTAAACAAATACAAAACATACTATACGTATGTATGCAAATGCTATGGTTTTGGTGATTGAGGTGTGGCTATTCAGAGTTAGAACTAACAAAGCTTTTATCATCAAGGTTTATAATGAAGGTAGAGGTTTATTTGTCAAGTCTGTCAAGCAACTTCTCTTGGTTGTGAGCCAATTCCCTTTGATTGTCTGTAAGTTATACCATTAATTCTTTAAACTTGAATATGGTGGCATTTACTTTGTTGATTGAATAGCAGCAATGATTAAACATGTTTTGATATTTTAGAGCATATGCGCTTATCATTTCTTTAATTTTTTTCTCAATTGTATTGAGACCTTTTTCAACTAATTTCCCTTGATTGTCCATTTA